AGCCTGCCGACGCCGGCGCTTGCTGAGCGGCCTGTCTTCATGAGCTCTTTGCCTTCAAGCTTCGTCATCATCATCATCATCATCATCATAGTTGTTGCTTCGTTGTGTTGTTTACAGCTGCGACAGCGGCGTTGAGGGCCTTGCTGCATGAGTCTTTGCCTTCAAGCTTGTCATCCTCCGGCATCGGCGCAGTGGCGCCGTCTTTCTACCGGCGTCCGAAGGCCACCGATGCCGCGATGTGTTCGTGTGCGCTAGCGGGCTATCGCTGCTCTGTCTTCACATTCATTCTTCACCTTCTGCTACTGCGCTTCTTCTTCGGGCGTTGGCCATCCTCGCCGGCCAGCCGGCTTACGTGGCCCCCGAACCTCGCCAGGTGGGGGCGGCGCGTGGCGCGCGCAGCGACTACTACGGATGCTGACGCTGGGGTCCGCGGACGCTCTCGCGGGCCTGCGTCGCGCCGAGCGCCTACCACCAAGGTTGGTGAGTTCGCTGCGACGCATTCGTCGACGCGCTGCTCTTCGTCCACTTACCTGGCCGTTCGTGCTGATCGAGCTTGCCTGGGCAGGTCTGCGCACCGCCCTACACGCGTGACGGTCGCTGCCGGGTCCCCGCGAATGGCCGAGCCGGCCGCTCGCGTACAAACGTGGGCCCGCCAGCTCTGACACGTGCGACGACATGCGCGCCGCAAAGGCCTGGCTGCTGGGAGCGCAGTACTACGCCGACTTCGCCCGCGCCGTACAACCCCTACCTGGACCGCGCGCCGTCGCGACGCCGGCAAGTCGTGACGTAGCCGACGACGTTCAACGTTCTACCGATATCGACGTCGCGCGGGGAACAACAGCCTGCAGCCGGGCGGGTCCTGCGCGCCGTATCATGGCTTGCGTCGCGCCCGCCCGCCCGCGAGCATGAGCCACAACGAAGGATGCGTAGCGTGCCCGCTGGCGAGGCCGGCTCCATGTGGGTTTTGGGCGTTCCACGGTTATGGGCTTCAGGGCGGTTCTGTGCAACCAGGTGCTTATGGCCAAAATTTTGCTTATGGCTGCTTATGGTGCGCTTTTTTCTTGACGGGAGGAGTCCGTTAGCTTTTAGCAGATTCTCAAGCGCGGCCTTGACTCTGAAAGAGGCTGAAGAACCATTGACGTAGTGTTATTGCAAAGGCAGGCCTTTAGCCCATCATCGGTTGCGATAGGAAGTTTATTTAAATATAATTGGTCTCAGCCGCACAAAGCTTATGGCGAACTCGAACTTTGGGTGTGTGCATACAAACCGCGTGGTGAGTTTCACCATCCTAGCAACAATTTTCAAGTGGGGTGCGGTTATCTTGCCTTCGGCAGATGGGACGATTTCACATACATACATTACATCGCGTAATTGAGATCTAGCCGCGATCTCATATGAGATAGATAAACTGCCCATCTAAGTGTCCCTCTATATATGCATGCTAGGCTTGTCGGTGCCGTTGCCCTTACATCGCCCCAGCAGAGGCGCCCAGCCGTCGGAGCATTGTGCAAATTAAATTGAAATGAGGTGCATTGCCTGGCGAGCGGCCCACCAGGGACGCTGCGCCTGTCGCCTACGTAAACGCTACCGATATCTGATGATATATACGCATTTCACGTAAACGAGCGTGAGACAGCGCGCCGATGAATTATTTATTATTATCAGCCCGCGATGACGCGGAGAAAAAGGTTGCATGGCGATTATTGCCATGCCTCGTCGATACGCTAATGTCTAGCGCACCTCCATAGAGAAAATCACGTCTAATTAGCCAGTTTATCAATAGGTCTGTCTCCCTCCCTCCCTCATTACGGTGTCGGTAAGCAGCCTAGGTTCAACCCGCCAGCCAAGCAGTCGTAGCGCGCGTGCGCTCGCAGCTACCTCTGAATTTTACAGCAGAGGTATATTCCTGATGATGGATGCAGCATCCAGATGGGTGCTCGCTCGGATAAAGCTAACACACTCATGGCGTTGCCCGCACCTGATCGCTGCCTTCAGGAGGCGCAGGGTTTTATGCTATCGCCGACCCTTAACTTGGCTTCTGTTACCAGCTTACTCGAGAATTAGTAGTCGCGTTGGCGCGCTTGCGTGATGCAAAGAACAAAGCTTCAGTGCACGCTGATTAATGAGTATACATTCGCATCACTTTGAAACCCTGCATGCCGGAATGTAGGTCTCCTCTCTCTAGCCTAGCGCTACTCCGCAAATGCATGCGTCCCAAGTTCCTTTTGATGTTTCCATCCATTCCTTTCCACTGCCTGCCGATGAGAAATAGCCATGCGCTACACGATACACACGCAAGCAAGCACGTCACACAATCAGACATGCCATTATTGCCACGTGCACGCACCACACAGACTGATGCACGCACTAAGCACGGCCATCCCCCTCACACGCGCGCGCCACGCACGCATGCTGCCGCACATGCCAACTACACGCTGCGCACACACACACAACAACACCTACACACACACTGCCACGCACGACACGCACACACGATCGCACGCACGCAACACACGACACGCACGCCACACACGCACGCACCCACCGCACGCCCACACGGCGCGCGCGCACACACACACGTGCGCGATCGCGCCGCCACACACACAACACACATCACACACACACACACACACCACACGCACACGCATTAACGGCGCCTGGTTTCACGCGCGGCCACATAGATTCGTGAGTTGTGTTTTTCAGCCCGTAACAGGCCAGCAATCGTCGCACATTGCAGTTCTACGACGCGAGCCTGCGAGTACGAGAGCGAAGGCTGGAGGCGCCGCGCCAGAGAGCGCATGGCTGCTCACAGGCCGCAGAGCGAAGCCTTCACGCACGTCAAGCGCATTGCCCAGAACGCATCCCGCGCTGAGTTAGCAGCTAACGTCAGTGTGCGTGCGCACACGCTGCGTGCGCTGCGTGGCCGTGCGTGCGTGCGTGCGTGGCGTGACGTTGCCGGTGGCGGCATTGCGTTGCGTGCTCTGTGTGCTGTGTGTGCGTCGCGTGCGTGTGTGTTATGTGTGTGGCTGCGTGCGTGTATGTGTCTGTGTGTGTGTGTGTGTGTGTTGTGTGTGCGTGTGGTGTGTGTGTGTGTGTGGTGCATGTGTGCGTGGCATGTGCAAGCGGGATACTGTCTGCTGTGCCGTTGCGTGCGGTATGTGATCTTGTGTGTGTGTGTGCGGGCGTGCGTGCGTGCTGTGCGTGCCGTGCTGCTGCATAAGCGTGTGGGTGTCTGTGTTGCATTACTGTCGCGTGCGTGACGAGTGGTGTGTCTGTGTGCGGCGTGCGTTGCATTGGCGTGCGTGCGCTGCGTATCATGTGTGTGTGTGTGCTGTGTGTGCATGCGTGCGCCTGCGTTGCGTGTGCTGGTGTCTGTAGTGTGTGTGGTGCGTGCCGTCGCCGCTGCGTGTGTGACGTCGTGTGTGCTGTGTGCAGCCCGTGCTTGTGCATCGTGTGCGTACGTGCCAGCGTGGCCCACTCAGATTAACTACGGTTGTCGTTCAGCTACCATGAGCTCTGAGCTATAGTGATTTTTATTAACAAGTGTTATGCATTTAATCTAGCGTAGCCCCATTTACAATTTACAGATCAAGGAACAGTATTAGCAAGCAAATTTAGTGCTAAGAGTAGGAATGTGTGAAACTGACGTGACACGGAGAAGAGGGTGCTATTTTATTAGGAGGTCTGAAAAGTTGGTGTCAAAGAAACGCGAACTACTGCAAGCATATAAGAATCTATAAAACTGCTTCCATGAGCAATGTGGCTGAATCAGTGGGTCGTACGTAGGAAAGAAAAACTAGTGCAGGGATATATGGTTTAAAGCAATACGTCATAGAATGTTGGGATGCTGGTGCAGCGCAGAAAGAGAGTCTTTGGACAGCGTATTGTTCATAGATTAAAAAAGCAAGCTACAGGCAATGTAGCAGCAGCTGAAGCGATTTTCGAGACCTAGTTTTTATGTAATTTATTTACATTTTGCCAATTTCATCTAAATATATTTCTTACATATAATCGTTGGTAATTGGCGATATTTTATGCCGGGTAAATTATGCAAAAAATTCATCTAGTTTTTCATGCTCGCTGTCAACTCGTCCGAGTTTTGATGAATTCGGTGATGTTGGAATGTGATTGTGATCTTAGTGCATACTGCTAAATTTACGGTAGCCAGTTCACAAGTCTGTTTTTATCTCACTTAGCCTCGTAGCTGAAGGCAGAGCCGTCATTCATTGTGAACTACCTATCGCCGCAAATCTCACGCCCGAGGTCAACATTATTTTTTCGTTCGTATTCATATCGCATGTTCGCGAACTCTCTACGCATTCGCTGCCGCAGCGCAGGCCAGACAAAAATTTACCATTTTAAAACTGCTTGCCGATGAGTTCATGATGCCGTACTTTCCACAAAGGCCACACTTTATCGATCTGGTAATACGCTAATGTGGGGTGGCGGGCTGCGGCGTGGACGGGAGCCGGGGGCACGCGGAATCATTATTGCGCGGTTAGCAGGGCCATCTGCCTGGGCGGCGTTGTGAGCAACTGTTTGCCTTCATTTAGAGTCATTATTTCTGCCCGTTCGTACAGCTACGAAGTATTTAATGAATAGCAGCTGCTTATTGAACCAAGCCGGCCGTGGCCAGTTCGGCGCGGAAAGTCTGCTTTTCGGGTATCTCTACGTGTATTCTGTCGATTGTATAGCACGCACACAGGAGCGAATACCGTCTGCGGCAGGATGCGCAGAGCTAACAATTCGCAGTACGCGTCTGCGTGGTTACGGCCTCAAGGCCTGAGCTGTTTCACTTGTCAAAGCAGTTCGATTGGGAAGCGCCATCTTCACGTAGGCGCTGATAAAATATGAAGAGGTATTCTTTAGCCGCCTCGCTAACCCCTGAGCGGTATTGGAGCCGCGTTTATGATCTGCATGTG